TCTGTTACCGGCGACAGTAACGAACATTTCAAAATGACACATTTGGAGGTAATTTACGCAAGTTTTAATGAAGTCAGACAGCTGTTACATTAGGGTTAGTTTAACAAGTCTACAAACATTAAAATAACATTCAATCATTTGAAATGTAATGCATAGTTTGAAAGTATTTCACAGGCGACAGTAATTGCACCCTTTTATTGAGTTTGAGTGTTATATCAACATTAATTTGAAGTATAGGAATTATCTAAAACTAGGATTCATGACTATAAAAACTACTGGAAACTGGGAGAAAGGATGTGTTTGTTAACAGTGCTATGTGCTAAAAGGTCAATGTCCAATAGAATATGTATGAAAAAAACATTGGAAATATTTTTTTTTCTTGAACGCATGTCAATCACTTTTGCCACACTGAAATAAAATTTTGTATCCCCCCCATTTCTGCCACTTCTTTCAACTGAAATATACTCTATTTCAAGAATAAAAGTGAGCATTTTACCCTTTCCTCTTACACTGTCTGTCGTAAGGCCTTACATGTACTAGTATTAGCAAGTCCTTGTTCGCGTAAAATCAATCTTACGCTATTTGCAAAATATTAATGCCTGTATATATGTATCTCACTTCCTATCTTGACGTATAAGAGCATTACATACGCAGTACTGCTCTATTTATTCACATGAAAATCATAATGTGAAATTGAAAGTAGTGAATGTTAAGCAATACATCAATAAAACATACTAAATTTATTACATTTATAGGTAAATATATACTGAGAAGTTTTGAGAAGAAAAACAGAAACATCATTTATTTATCCCCACTTTACAACACGCCACGAATCACTGTCCTGCATACACTTATTATTTTATGGGAATAAAATGTGGCCTAGCGATTGGCTGGTTCGTGATAAATATCCGCGAGCTTGGGGTACGTGCGAATCTCGCGGATATATCTCGCATGCGTATTCATCAAAGTTGTTTAACAGCATACACATGTAGATGTAAGAATTTATCTTGATGTTACATGTATTCTCTTTGTTTATATACATTCAAAATTATAATGAAATATAACACAACTTTCTACCTTTATTTATTTCTTGCAGTAAATATATACATGTACATGTATTTCGAATAATAAATTAGGTAATACTTATATAATTTATATTTCAGTTGATAAATACATGTACTTTGTTTATTCTTTGATGGAATGTGGTGAATTCTCGTGAATTCATCTAAGTCAATAGCATACATGTAGATCTTCAATTTTTAGCAGATTTAACATTTTTGTTTTAGGTGATTTTCTAGATCTTTTAAATATAATTCAATTATTTCCACAAAATTCTGTATTTAGGAACAACAAGTTTTGAATGAGTTCCTTATTTTACGAAACTCCTTTCAGTTTCTCTTTTACATGAACGAAAACGATGAGATGTTCAATTTATTGTTACAAATGTTTAGGAAATATATCCTTTTAACTTCGGAGTTCCGCTGACTATTTTTTTCTATGATAATTTATTTAGATATAGATTTTTAAAAGGCTCAAATGTTTACTATTTCATTGATCTAAAAATACCGCAGTTGAATTCATTTTCCATTGAAAAGATTTTTTTTCAATTCTATCCAGTCAGAATTAACTGGTATATCAAATGAACACTTTCATCTGCTTTTTTAAAATTATGGTTCTAAATTAAATGATGTCGATTAAATAAATATTTATCTCGAATAATTCAATTTCAAGTCTTAAATCCGTATATTGCTACATCGTAATTGCAAACTTTAAGACATTTCTATCGCTCTTTGACGTGACGTTACATCACAAAAATGACGTTCCTATTGCATTTTTCTATCAAAACACTGCCATATTGCAATATTTATTTTTCAAAAAGTATAATAGATATTGAAAAAAGAAAAACGGTTATGAAAAGCGAAAATTCTACATTATCTATAATAAACATAACATTAATTTTTGAGAAGAGGCCGTTTTTGATGCTTCGTGGACTTAGCTCTTTCCATGACACATTCGAAAGAACATGCTGTTTTAGGAATATTGGTGAAGATACCAAAGAGAACATTAGGAAATGAGAGTATTGTCTAATTTTGAGGCATAAAAGAAGCTATTAATCATACAAATAATTTAACTAGTTATGTAAGGCTTGGTACCTGATTGCTTAATCAGTTTTTCGATGTCGCAAAATTAATTTGAAAGTAAAATTTACAATATTATTATGAACATTTTCTCATATACAATTTGCTATCAATAAACTAATTAACCATGTAAAAATATGTTAAAATATTCTGAATATAGCAATTCATAATCAATATACAATCAAACCTGGTGTTTATTGAGAAATCTGTGAAAGGTAAATAAAAGAGTAAGCAAATACTTTGTTGTCTTTTCCGTATGTCAATGCTTGCTGAGACTGATCATTTTGGACAATGAGCCCTTTTTGGTAGCATTCTTGTTTAACGTCCTTTTCGAGAATTTTTCACTTACTGAGACACCGCCACTTGCCGGTGGAAGGATACAAATTCAGACCTGTACTCGGTATTTATGGCCATTGAGCATTGAGGGATCTTTCCGTGCCAACACCTACTGCGACTCAGGACTTCGGTTCATACATTCTCATCCGGTCCGGTCATCACGTCCTATGGTGAGATTCAAACACACAGCGTAAGGATCATCTCCTTACTTTGCGACTATAGAGCAAACGCTGTACTACTGCGACACGCGGCGCTATTTTTTTTTTTTTTTTTTTTGGAAAGAGATAAGATGTTTACAGGAACTGTTTTTGTATCTGTATACCGGGTATTTGTCAATTTATTTTTTATCGATAATTGACCATATGAGGAAAATTTTATAAAATTCTAATTTAAAGATTGTCTATCACTCTGAAATTTTTTTTCTCCTTCGTTGGCTTACAAATTGTCAGTAGCCTTTACTAACTTTTAGAAGAAGTTCTGTCGACTAAAAAAGAATCCATGGCGTACACCATACGTATTGAAATATATTATTGGACAGCGGTTCAGAGGCTGAAGACATTTGACAATGGTAAGTATAGTAGACATGTACATATTCTATAATAAAAAGTATGAAACCTAACTTTACTAAAGACAGCAAGAACTGTCATCCATTTTTTTAAGAGGGCTGGGTGGTCATGGCCATTTTTATACTATATTGATCTCCTTTAGAAGAAGAGCTCCATATAAAGATATACAAAAATGATCAAATTTTAAAACTAAAATGAATGAATTTTTTCTTTGCCAAATGATAGTTGACAGCTTAAGATATCTTATCTAAAAAATAAGTTATATCTGATGGTTAATTTGTTGACCCCCCAGCCTCCTTAAAACTTAATTTTTATCTCAAAGAGCGTACGACATTAAAAGAAGAAATGACAGACACAATTTACTTTTCTCAACAAGAGGATGACCAAGAGTCAAATGAACTAGTAATGTCATCACACTTCCTGAACACTTATTAAAGTGTGTAAAAGTAGGGGAAGAAGCGGTCGTCCAGGTCGTATCATTATTATTTTGTCGTCATCAGAATCTACAGCTTATGGAAACTGTTAAATAAATAAGGTAGGTTATCAATTACTTCTAAACATACATGCACATGAAAGTACTTTTTTGAAAGTAGGAAACAAAATAGAAAATAAACTGTTATCCTGTTTTGAAGCTGAGCAAAAGTTATAAAATGAATGTGTGTTAAGTGGACTTAAATAAATTATGAAAACATAACTGTATAGAGGTATCAAAACAACAGCTACCGTTTACTACTTGACCTCCTGTTAACACACTAGAATTGCTTTATGTTGTTTAAAATGCTTAATTACATAACTTCTCTGAAAGTTATGAAAGAGAATTAATAGATTCTGAAGGCTTGGCATGCCGTTATGGAGAGAGTTTAATTTTAGAATCTAGTAAAACATATTGAGGCCGCGATTTTCATTTCTTAAATAAGATTTTGTAATAATAATGACTCAGAAAGAAAACGCCAATGCATCATCACATAATATATATTCTCTTTCTTGTACTTTTACACCGTCACGTAGCTCAGTCGGTAGAGCGCTCGCTCCGTGATCGGAAGGTCGTGTGTTCGAATCAGGGCCGCGACTAACCTAAGTCGATAAAAAATAGGTAGCAACTATTCCTTTGCTTAGCGCTCGGCACTTTGAAGTGAACGTTGAGGGTCTTTCGGATGAGACCTTAAAAACCGAGGCCCCGTGTCACGGTAGGGGTTGGAACGATAAAGATCCCACACTGCTCAATGGCCCTGAGTGCCGAGTAAAGGTCTAAATTTGAAGCCCTTCACCGGTATATTGTGACTTTTCTATATGAGTGAAAAACTCGAGAACGGGACGTAAAACAACATACAATCAATCTTGTACTTTTATACTTTCTCAATTTTCTTTCACTATTACATTATGAAGTACACATTACAAAAATTCAAGGTACGTGAAATTAATCACCCATCTGCATGAATAAATATTCATCTATGAAAAACTTGATAGTGCCTTTCATATCTAGAAAAATTACAGATACACATTATAACGGCGGTATAAACTAATGAATCTATTACCATAACATTGTTTTCAGCATAAATTGCATCATACAAAAATAATACTGTAACATCAGTGCAAATAAAGTACACTTTCTTTTCATTGAATAGGTTTGCCAAGAGAAACTTTCTTAAAACGTGTGTGGAACACATGACCCAATTGTCATATAATAGAGGAGTTTGGCCAGTAAACGACTTGTCATTATTTAATCTGGTTGTAGACACTTGATGTTGTATCTTTGGATACTTGACACTTACAGTGCATTGTTGTGTCAGTACACTTAGCTGAAATGGGTACTAGGAGTTAATCTGCAGTTACCCAGTGTCTGATCTTGGTAGAGCTACTATGTTTCTTCCACTTAGCACCCATAGCTAAGAAAAAGACTTCACTAATTTAAGTACCCATGTTTTACTTTTCCTATAAATTAATTTTTTCGTAATTTCAGAAGAACCATGTCTAGATACCTATCAGTTGAATGTCTCCTCCCAAACTGCTGTCGTCAGATTTACCTTTCTATACCAAATGTTGCGGGGGTAGCAGACGTTGATTTTTCTTCATGCATCGTTGCGGACAAAGACAGAGGTATAAGTGAAACAACAGTGTATTTCAGAGGAAACAAATCATCTGCAACATTTCTAACCAGTCGTTGTTGCGGCGGTGTGATGAATGTTTATTTAGGTAAGGCATTTTTCCACAGTTGTGTTTGATGTTAAAATAAAAATAAAAAATAAAAATATTTTTATAAATGAAATTGTTGTGACAGAATGAATTCGAACTTGCAGAACGAAATCAACAAATCCAGCAATTTTTTGTGTGTGTGAGTGTGTGTTTGTTGTTTGTTTTGTTGGTTTTTATTATTTTGGCAACTTGAAGATGTTTTAAGAAATTGTATTTCTGTGAGCCTTACTTTTCTATACCTTACTTTTGCCCAAGTTGCAAATCTGAATGGTTATCAATTTTAACCAATTTCTTGCAATTAAAATAAAGTTTTGCAGAACAAATATTGCAAGCTTTTATGCATACTCAATCTTATTTTTCAAACAGGACTAGAAATAGGCCTAATTTGAACATATATGTATGGCACGCCTAATTCACATAAATTAGATATACATAGTTAAACAGCTGATAAATTAGGTTTATCGATTGTAAACTATTCGTTAACTGTAGTTTGCATTTGTAAAACTATATTTAACGGTTGTATAGTGTAGTTAACGAATGCTAATCTATGTTTATCTGTCTGTAAATAAACGTTAACAATAAATTTTGCTGATAAATATAGATTCTCATATGTAAACTATATGTAAACTATAATTTGCATTCGTTAACCATATTTAAGCGTTGTTAATCAAAGTTTTACAAATCGTGAAACTATATTTATCAGATAAAATATGTTTTACATTCGTTAACTATTAGATTTCGGTCGTAAACTATAGTTAACTGTCATTTAACTGTCATTTATACTCACAAACCATATTTAACAAACGTAAACTATACTTATCGATCGTAAACTATAGTTTTGAGAGCTAAACTATGATTCACATTTGCCAATCATAGTTTATTGTCATAAACTATAATTAATTCACACTCGTAAACTATAGTTAAGAGTTGTTAAATATAGTTTATGAATCTAAACACCTGTTAACTGTTAACGATAGTTTTCAATTCAAAATTTCGACACGTTGCGGCACCAATCGCGAGAAGCAATAATGGGGTATAGGTTTCAATATTAAGGACACGTGTTGGGCATTATCTAAAGCAAAGACCGAGTTATATATAATCAATATTACTTTCTCTATTTAAACAGGATTAATTGTATTTGTTTTAAAATATCGTGTATATATACATTTCCTTTGGGAAATTTTTAAAAATATGATAAACTTTTAATTTCTTAAAAGACAGAATATTACGAGATTTTTGCTCAAGCAGAGGAGGGTGAAGCGCGTTTTACAATGTGCCAAGCATTTTCCCGCCACATCTCATCACCAAAACAAAGAAACTGAAAGAGAGGAAATGCAGTGGTGAATCTAGATGGGGTTGTGGGGGTTTCAACGTCCTCTTTTGAGAGAGAGAGAGAGAGAGAGAGAGAGAGAGAGAGAAATCCCAAATATTTATTGTGTTTTTACTAAAGTAAATGTTCCACTTTTATTTATGTATGAAGAAATTAAATTCGGTTGTTGAAAAATAAATTCCACACCTGCAATGTTACATGCACTGTGTTATGTCTATATTTACAGATTAATATAAGATATACATGTATTTTATTAATAACAGATCACGCATTTCAGTTTGTTGCCTCATAAAAGGAACAATTGGACGGTTTGCGGCCGATTTTTGACGCTTGCGTCAATATGATTCTTGTTCATTATTGTTTGATCAGCACAGAAGGTTGGAAAGATGGCAAGGATAGATATCAGCGATTTCTTCCGTTGCTGAAGACAAATTTGATTACAGACCGTTAACATGCATTTCTCTCTATTGTTCTCCTTTAAATGAAAAAAAAATTAATCAATAATTTTCTTTTTATTTCCAACTAGATTTGCTTTAAAATAATAGAACATTTATTTTTAATGCCAACAAGAAATATACATGCATATATATTTAACAATAATTGTTGTTACATAGCAAAATCTTATAACGCTGTAACTAGGATTAGCCGATCTATAATTTTCAAAAGAAAAAAAAAAAAAAAAAACTATTGTTAACTATAGTTTTGATAGTAAACTATGGTTTAGAGTCGTGAAATCTAGTTTCACAGAAAATTGTTCATCTCCGATACAAAATAAGAGATTCTGTTCCTAAACTGTGTTTCTCAAATGTAAAAATATGTTTATCGCATTTTTGTGAATTTGGCGCTTTGTATGTCTGTAAAGTATACTTTACAAACCCTAAACTATAATTTACATTTGTTAAGTATAGTTTAGAGTTGTAAATCATAGTTTACAAATCGTGAAACTATATTTATCAGATAAACTACATTTTGCAGTAGCAAATGATTGTTTTCCTTGTTAATTATAGTTTACTCTAATGAAACATATGTTATCGTCTAAACTATAGTTTACAGATGTGAAATATAGATTATCATAGTTAACTGTAGTTTACGGTCCGTAAACTATAGTTTACAGTCGATAAACCTAGTTTATCAACTGTGAAACTATGATTAGCTCATTTTTGTGAATTTGGCGTGTCATACAAACATGCATATATACATACATACATGTATACAAATAATACTTAAGGACAGTGGATATTTAACATACAATCAAATAAAAACATGAAAATATTCTTATAATGCTAGTTTTGCTCATCATGTTTATTATTTTAATAGTTTTTTTTTTTTTTTGGGGGGGGGGGGGGGAGGAGCTTAGAAACAAATCTGCAAATGATATTCCAACTTTTACTTTCTAAGGATGTAACTCTTCAAAATCGTATGTCAGTTTTAAATATTTTTAATATTCCTAACAATCAAATTGAATTACCATACCTATGATCCCTAAACTATATAAAAATCCTTACAAAAAAAGATCAAGTAAATGTTTTACATGTACCAAGCCTCTTTCTCTACTCCAAAATATTAAGATCAGTGAAAGAGAAACTTCAGGAGTACTATACAATATATTCGAGAATTGGTATTAATCAGATTTTTTTTCTAAAATCAATAACATCAACATCTTTTCAACACTTGATACAACTATACCCCAAGATAAATGAAGTCCAGGCTTTTTGACATCATAGACAACAGCTTTTTTAATAAAAAATGGAGCTCGTAAATTAACAAAAATTGGTCATCTGTAAGATCATTTTGTGAAAAAACAATCTGATTGTACACACAGGTACGCCGAATTATTGATTGACAATATCGTTGTAGTTTCAGGAGATCAAGTCTTCCAACAATCTGTTTGAATTCTTATGGATACTACATGTAATTTAGCTCCGTTATTACCAAAACTATTTTAATATTCAAATAAGCAGAATTTTATCAAACACTTTTACATGAAAAGTAGGTCTTTTCCTGTTGCCTTCAATTCAGAATTTAAATAAATAGACGACGTTTTATGAATTAATAGTGTTCATTTTCATTCCTATGTTGATTAGGTATATCCCTTTGAACTCGAAATAAAAGACACACCGGATTGTCTCACATCTATTTCTTATTTGGATAATTTACTAGAAAAAGACAATTATGGATAACTAATAACAAATCTTTATGATAAACGTGATTACTTCAAACATTTAATCGTCAACTTCCCTTATTTGAATCAATGTACCATTATCACCTGCATATGGAGTTTATGTCCCCCGTGTTTGATTCAATATGCACCTTATTTTTTGGCTACGTTAGTTTTTACTTTGATTTTTTCGTATTTAACTTTGTTTTTCTTTTTCTTTTTTTTTCTTGCAAACATTACCTTTTACATTATGCATATATTTATTCAAATCCTGATTTGATTCGAAAATAAATTTAGATTCTTCAAATCGTCTGTAAACCCCCAAAACCTGTGTTTAGAGTATCATAAAATATTATGGGCATCATTTTATTAAAGTCAACCTTACCGTTTTAAAAATGATAAATTCCCAAGTGTTTTTTTGTACATGTGGATGAGAACGTCATTATAAATAATTTTTTTTTAAATAAACAACTCATTCTCCTATACTTCTGCTCACATTCACAAGTGTTCAGGTGTAGGGCAAGAATTATCAAGTTACTTGAAGCCTTTCATCCAATTGGTGAGAAAAACAAATTATGAATATCCTTTTCAGCAAAACGAAGAATTTTAAAAATCTTTGTGATCTCTGACTTTAGTTAAGTCCATTCACATTATATCATGAGTTCCATTGTATAGCGTCATTTTTATTTTATAGAAGTTTAAATATTTTGAAATTCAATTTAGTTGTCTGTCATCAATTTGAATTGACAAATGAATAACATGAGTCAAAAAAAAAAAAAACCCAGCAGATTTTGTGTAAGTTTATTTATCAACCATTAGCTAAATACATAAGCACTTTATGCATACCAAGAGTTTCGAGATAAAATAACATTTCAATTTTTAAATCACAAAGTACTGCGAAAATGTGAGACATCGCATTACTTGTTGGTAAAGTCTTAAGTTGCATCTGGTCAAAGTCAAACAAGAGGTTTATCTTCTTAAACCACATCATTTAATTTACTCTTTGGGCTGCTTACAGTAAGGAATGAATTCCCGAATTGAATATATAAATGCTTACTCCTCCTAGGCACTTGATACTACCTCTGGAATTCCGGGGTCCGTGTTTTGTGCCCTGATCACAGATTTGTATTGTTTGTTGATTTTTTTAATCGATCACTGTTCGTTATCTTCACCTGTTTCATGCATATCCTCTTTTTCTATTTTACCAAGCTGTTTGTTTGAGAGAGAGATGTATCTATGCTACAGTCATACCTGTAATCATGCTATAAAACAACAATACACATTTCTGTTCTTTAAAGATTTTCAGAAAAAATTCCTGTCAGCTGATCAAGTATCGAAATCAAATACATCATCCAATGCATTCTTGACGAAAACAGCAATGTATGAAGTCACATCTAAAGGAGATGTTTCAGAGATCGGGGACATGCACTACGGCCATTGGAGTTTTACTGTTACTGTCATAATGATCTGTATGGCTCTGTTTTTTGTCATCTGTGTCGGATCTCTTCTATACCTGCGTTATAGGTATGTTAAATATCTCTTGCATCATCAGTTTTTACATAGGTTCTGATAAATACCTTTTGCGTACTTAGAAGATATCAGTTGAATAGTATTAAGTATCTTTTGAATCGATATCAGTTTAATAGTGTTTAATACCTTTTGTATTATATATATTTATTTTCCTACTTAACTGTTATCAAATCCTGATATTTATCTTGATTAATTTCATCTTATTTTCAGAAAAGCAAAATTTACAGCTGATGAAGAGGTATGGTTCTTTATATTTGCCACTGATGGAAATATATTTAATTTTTGTAAACATGTAATGCTATTCTGAGCATCACTTCACAGCATTTCACAATCCTAGAGAAATTTTTTTTCTTAGACTCGCATATTTAAGTACAGCTTCAAATTATGTATAAACTATATCCGGGGTTTAAAAAAAAGTTTAAAATTTAAATCTAATAAATGATTTAGTTTCCAGATAGTTCTTACAAGTCAGCAAAAGAAGAACCACAGATGTCAGAAATATCAAGGATGGAATTAATAAATACTGTAAAGGATAACTATTTTGTGTTAGAGAAGGGAGATAAATTCGACAGTGATTTATCAGCAACCATAAATTCTACATTGAACGGTGATGAAAAAATGCAAGGCAATCTTCCTGTATCGGAATATATGGATATCGCATATGAAACGACTGAAGTTGAATATCGAAATGTACACGTCTTTGAATGTGAACCAACACAAGAGTGTGTTTATAACACTCTACATCAAAACATTGTCTTTTCAAGTGATGCAACAAGTAATTATAGTCATTTCAATGACTTTAATAAAGTTTATAGTCACTTAAATGTTGATAGATGAATCTATATGATGTGAAAAGTAAAATACCTGTACTTGCAAAAGACAAATTTTCTTATTCGATTAAATGTTGTTAGATATTTAATATAACACCAAAGCTTTGTCTTTTTTTTTAATTATTAAACAGAGTATGTACATGTTTATAGTACATTTATTAGAAACAGAAAACAGTACCTACAAAGAAAGGTTGATAAACGAAAATTTCTATAAAGGGAAAAATCCTTAGAAAGTGAATAAAAATCTTATCAAACCCAAGAAATGCTTATTGAGAGAAAAAGTATTCATTTTTTAAATTAATAAATTCTATATACATGTAATGGCAAGATAAGGTAATAGATTCCTAAAATCAAACTCCAAAGTAATGATCACAATTTTTATTATATTGCATGTATTATAATCTTTACAATAATATGTTATGATGCATTCTCCATCAGCACAAAAAAAATCAAACATGTCTCCCATTTCGACGAAATTTGAATCACAGGCCCCTCTTGATAAGAAACTAACAAATATGGTGTCGGAAGTTTCACAAGTGCATCCTATTGTCATGGAGACGTAGCCATTGAATTTGACCATTTTTGGCCCTTTTTGACCAAATGAAAACATGAAAATTGAGGAAATATAAACGAATTTTTATTTAAGGTCTAGGGCATATAATCGTTTATAATTCTAGAATTATTCCCATTTCAGGAAAAGATCGAGCAAAATGACATGGTCTGAAAAGAAAAATGGGAAATGTAGTTTTTTTTTTTTTTTTGGAGAACTTTAAGCTTTAAAAAATATCCCAAGAAAATTCTAAATCTTATGTATTTTTATAATTCAGGATTAATAGTGTCATCTCATGAAAAAATATCAGTAGGGTTTCATTGCTATTTTTTAGCAATATGTATTCAAAAATAAAGAAGTTTTTACAAAAACGTGAAAAAAAACCCCAAGTTTTGGGAAAGTTTTTAGATTACATTGCTGGATAATGAGGAAATATACTGTAAATTTAAAGATGTTAATGGCAGACGCTGGAATGCACAGTATTTGAGGGGGATTCCAATTCTAATTAAAGCACCAAACACCTTAAATCTTTACTTATAAATTAATAAATATTGCAAATAAACTCTGAAACGGGTGGACCAGAGTTCTTACTAACTCCTCTAAGAATATACTAGATACAAGATAATGTCCGTAAACTATATTTAGATTTCACTCGCATAGTTAGTATCGTACATTAAATTATAAGTCTACCCTCATTTTCTATAAACAGCCACGAAATAGCAAAAACATGAGTATGGTGGCGTTTCCGGTTGGCGGATCTAAGTTACTGGCAATTTTTAATGACACTGACAACAAGCAATCGTTTATTTATTTCATAAAACGTCATCACTGAATTATTCAATCAAAACTTGATTTAAATGATATAAAAAAAATAAGTTGTGATACCCGATTAAGAAGGGAAATGTGCAAATTAGTTTCGTCATTCACCGATCTTAATATTGAAGGAATTTTCTAGAACATCACATAGCATCGAGCCCGATGTTTGGAAAAAAAAAAACGTGGCGATTATGCTGCATGAACATGAAAAAAAAGTTTTTGTTAATGGTCATTGAAATAATGGTAAATTGTTGATAACACTATAAGTTTTGAATATATTTATATATCGAAAGACTATTACATATATGTAGTAGGTTTTCCTAATAAATTTATCGGTAAAATCCTCACTGAGAACATCGTGGCAACGAACCCAAAGTACAATTTGTACTTCGTAATAAAATTTGCTTACATGAAAAGAGAAAATTAATGAATAAGGTATTGTTCAAATACAATCAACGCTGTAAAATTTTGTGCTTTAATCAATACATTTGATTTTCGGTTATTTTTCTGAATACAGTCTTTTGTATCAAATACTCGGCCTATTCATAGGGCGTTAAAAGCTAATTTTCACACAGGCAATTGGGTCCTGGTTTATAAATACGTATGTACCTTATTGATACATGTGTGTAAAAATGTAAAGTGCATTTTTTACATATCAATAAGGTACATACATATTTATAAAGCAAGACCCAAGTACCAGTGAATTTTTACCCCCCCCCCCCCCCCCGCCAAATCAATTTATCAGCAAAATGGGCATTTTCGCTGCTTTTATCCTTTAGGGAAATGAAATAAGAGCATCTGAAGTACAATATCCCTAACATAGTGTAACAGGTTTCACAATAAATGTCAATTAATGAAATTATTTTTTTCAAATTTTTATAAATGGGGCGGGGGTTGGGGGGTTGGGGGTGGGGGTGGAGACGTACTTCTACTTCTTGCAGGATTTTGAACAAAGTATTTCTTCCTGCTACAAGCCTGTAGGCTGTCAGTAGAAACTACAATATATTTTCTGTCGGTAGTGGTATAAATCCAATTACCCGCGCTTGCGCGGGATTTCATCTAGTGAAATATATGGATATAACGAACAGTATTCCAGCTCAAAAGTCCATTAAACGTTCAAAATAGGTGCAGAGCAAACACGGACCTCCAAAACATCAGAGGTGGAATCAGGTGCCATGGAGGAGTGAGCATCCCCTGCCGACCGGTCACACCCGCCGTGTGCTCCTTGTCATGATCAGGAAATAACGGAAATATCCGTCGACAATTCAGTGTGTAAATAATGGCCTAACAATAAGTATGAAAAACGTCAGTCAGCATTTGATTCAATGATAAATTGTATTTGCTGACAAGGTCATTGTATCGACCATAGAACTTACGAAATGATGACTTTAAATGAGACTGATATTCTTGTTTCATCAACTTGTTTGTCAATGATTTACCTCGTTTTAGAAATTGTCCATACGTAGTGCATTCTCTTGCATATCGAATCAACTGAGAGATATAAACCCCGTATGCAGGTGATGAAGGTATATTGCTGCATAAGTAAGGAAAGTTGACGATTGAAAAGTTAAAGTCATCACGTTTATCATAAAGCTTGGTTCTTAGATTACCATTAAACATACCATAAAACATCATACACGAAATATTGAGATAGCAAACAGTAATCAAGTTCAAAAGTCCATTGAAACAATATACATTTATATCAGACCAAACTGACCTCTAAAAACATCAGAGATGTATCAGGGACATTGAGAAGTAAGCATCCCCTGTCGATCGGTTACACCCTCTGTGTGAGACTTGTCATGTTCGGGCAATATGTATGACAGCATATGAGGAAAAATGGCAATGTTTAACCAGCTGAAGCTGCATAGAAAACGTTTTAACAAATATACTGCTCTCTACAATATGCCATCAAAAAGGAACATGTATTCAACAATTAACACATTACTGAATGGGGCCCTCACTAATTTTTTTATAGCATAATTGTCTAAAAATAGATACCTCAAATTATAATACAATATTAGCAAATACAATATGCCAGGATATAAATTTGATGAACAGCAGGCTGCATATCAGAATTACTCATTTATTTTAATGTTAGATATAAAAAAAATGAAAGGAAAAATATTCTAATGCTTCATATTATTTATATTGTAATATCGTTATTGCAACATTTGCATTTAATTTAACGGTCATAAATCTCTATTGCAAATATTCAGCAGCAATGTCCATCTAGGTTGAAACACTTTTTCACATATTATAATCAACAATGACGTCCTATAACCGTATCTTAACAAATTTGGGTATACTTTTCGTATGAAATGTTATTTATAAAATAGAATTTAAGTTTTTCAAAAGTTGTTTTTCGTCATCTCAAGAAAAAAACTATGATAAACATCATCATGAAAAAAGCTGAGTACTTTTACTATTCTTGAAGTTAAATTTTAAGATAAAATATTTACTAGGAAGTTTTATATACACATTTCTTTGTAATCTCTAACCATTTTTCCTGAAATTCTCACATTTTTTAATCAAAAAGGAAGCATGAAAACGACTGCCACTTAACCACCTAGGATTTTCGAGGTGACTAAATGGGTAATGTCTTCCCACAATTTTTTATTAAAATAGAAAATTTGGCTACTTATAGTCATAACACCAAATTTTCTACTTTAATAAAAATTTGTGGGAAGACATTAAGATTGGTAGTTAGTTATCTCTTTAGAACTATACCAGAAGCATATCAGAAGCTATTTTGGCAGAGTCCCATTCACACTGATTATTTGTATTAAAATAATTGCCTCTCAAGCAGCATGAATAAGTTCAAAATGACACCATTTATAAATGACATAAAAGGTTTATTAAGCAGTTCATAGGATATCAACAAAATAATCGAGCAAAAACAAAGCAAATAAAAAAAATGAAATAAAACAAATAAAACTTAAAAGTTGTTTTTTTTTTTTTTTTTTTTTTTTGCTTCTGAAATCTATTATGATACTTTTTCCAACAAATCCTCACCGAATGTCTTTGAATATCCTTTCATCAAGATCATGAAATATGAATATCAACATAAAATAATGAAGTAAATTATTACGTTAATTAAAACAGCTCCTTTCTGAAATGCTTGGCACCATGACTCCCACATGCTATTACCCTAGAGTTTAAAATTGTTGTCTTGTAATGCCATCGAAGCAAACAAGAAATGCAATTAAGGAAACATAGTATCAGGTATCTGTTTATCCGCTTGTCTGTACTTTTGTATGTTCATGTGAATGTCCGCATGAATTTTGCTGGTCAAAATTTAAATTTAAAAATATCCTGTTGAATTATCAAAATCAAAACTTTATACACTTGAATTAAATGGAGTCCACTTGATGCTAGGATTCTAGATATCAATGTCATGCTCAAAGGTCACAAAAGATTGACAATGTTGTAAGCACGATATTTAAAACTTTGTTTGAATGACATAACGTTGTGGGCGAATGCTCCAGTTATCCCTTGATACGAAGTTATATGACCAACAAAGGAACCCACTGAAGGACCAAGGCCAAGGACAAAAATTAATGTAAGTGTACGTTATCTGTCCCAAGTTAATTGTGTTCTTATCCTTTCTGAACATAAAAAAATCAAGTAAAGAGAACCCCAAAGCTTAAAAATACACTGCAT